CAAAGTGTCTTTGGAAGACCTGAATCAAAATTATATTCTGTAGAACAGATTGCTTGCAAAATGCAGAAAATGATGAAATAAAAGTCTAAAAATCTGGTAATTAGGAAGTCTTGTTTGAGCAGCATGTTAGTAACCAGAGGGAGCTAAGGTGCAGCAGCACCAATGAATGTTAATGGAAATTTCATTAAACATTCCCACGTCCTTAACTGAATATCCCACAGGCAAAGCGCTTACAGAACAAAACAAATTAGCCTGGCAATTTTAATTATCGATGTTCTGTTTTCTTTCATGCCTTGTCTCTCTTTCTGCCTGATGAGATCTCAACAACAGATGTTTTAAAGGACAGAACTAATATTAGACGTTCTGCCCTTTGGCTGACTTCCCATTGATATTCGCCATAGTTCACCTCTAAAACTGTGGAGTAAACTTTGGTCCACACACACTGCAGGGTAATTTAACATTTCAATGTTACATCAAATATTCAATTACACTTTTCAGAAAACAAATTGTAAATATGGCTCGAGAGTGCTGCTGTTTTTTCTATTCAGCTTATGCAAGCGTTCCCAGCTGATTCAGGTTGTAATTGTTGCAAACTCATCCAACAGCAAAGCACTTTTTGAATCCCAAAATTTCAGTATGATCCGAACACAAAGAAAGAGGGCCTCTGACAGTTTTTTAAATGCATATTAGATGTTCAGTGAGGTTTATATATATATATATATATATGGCGATATTAAGATACTGATGCCAGATAAATTGGGGGCAAAATATGACGGCTGGTTGTAACCTACACAGATACAAATATCTATTATATTTAGACTGTCAGATTCACACTATTTTTCTTAGATAATCCAAGATATTTTACAACAGGTGGGTTGCAAGTCTGCAAGGGAAAACAGGTACAACTTTGAAGGTTTTTAATATTTGAATTAGAGATTGTTATGGTTAATTAAAAAACTGAAGCACTAGTAGAAAAAAAAGGTCACATCAAATAATTCTCATATTTCTTGACCACTTAATCCGTATTTTTTACTGGAGGCTACTACAGGCTTTGATTTAAACTTTGGCAGCTAATTGTTTAAGAAACTTGTGGAGTGAACTTCCTGTGCAGGTGTTGACGTGTGTTAGCTCAGTTTGCACCTACGGTGACGTGCACATAATTACCCCCCTGCTCCCAAATGACTCACCACTCATAATTCTAATAAAGTGATTGCACCTCAGCAAAGGTGTAACTAATCATGACTTTAGTAAAGTCAGTCCACCTCCTTTTATCTGATTTACATTTTAATATTTTAGTTTTTAGAGCATGTAAAACACATGCAGGCCAAGAGCCTTCTTGTTTGTCACAGTGTGGTAATAAAAGGTGAGAAGTAACCTCCTTGTCATTTCTTCATTTGTTCATGCGTCTAGTAAACACCATCAACATTTCACCGCTGCATTCCAAATTACACTGATCATCCCAAAGGGAAACTGCAATTACAGCTCCAAACAAGGTGGCTGATTGGCACAGGTGGAGACTTCACCATGCATGGATGACAACATGTTTACTGTTACTATTTCGAAAAGAAACCCTATATCAAATATCACTTTTTTTGTGATCTGAAATTTTCTGAAATTTCATCAATTGAAATGTTTAGCCATATTGTAATGTATAATGGTATACATCAGAAAGGTAGACCTGCTTGTTGATTTGCCTTAAATGTTATAATTTTACAATGCTTTTCTAATTTTTCTAGTTTTCCTATGAAAAATCTCAAGAGTTGATGCTCTTAGTCAGAACCCTGAGTAAAAGAGTAGTGCTCAGAGGTCAGTATATCACTTACAGCGCATATATCACACCAAAAGAAATAATTAGTTCTGCCTCATTTACACCTGCTGCAGGAAACTGGCTCAGAGTGTAGCTGTGGATTGAAGATTGGACAGTTCAGTCCACTGCAACCCCACAAACAATACCCCACATTGCCTGCATCTATAAATAGGGTTACGCGGCTGCCTTTCCTCACACTGATCCTCTGTGGCTCTACCCTGTAGTATGGCCTGCCACAGCAATGCACAAACATCCACCGGGCTCTGAGGCAGCATGCAGCACTGGTGGTCAACACCCCTGACTTACTGGATCACATCAACCCCATGCACTGCTTCAAGTTTGCACTGACCTCCGGATGTGAACTATGTGTTTGAAACAAAAAATGTCTTCTTCATCTGAGGACTGAGCATGTAATGTTTTCTTGTAGCAGGTAATCATCTTATCTAAAAACAACTGCACAGAGTTACTGTTCCAGAGTGCAAATACAGGTTATTACATTTTAGGGGCAGCGAATAATAAGGCAGATTGCTGGTATGTTTGAAGAACAGCTATAATGTCCTTAAGAGAATATAACAGAGGTAAAAACTGACCAGTTTTAGGGAATTTGGATTAGCATATTCCAGTCACTGGTTGTAGCAAAATTGAATGAGGACTTGCCCCAAGAGGACATGACTGTGGGGACATTGTGAAGTGTGACAGAACATTTCACAGGAGGGGAATTACGTTTTCAAAACACTTCAGATATGTGAAGTTTGACTTTGGCTATGGCCAGCTAGCAATGCAGAATGGTTTGCAGAGTGAAAAGCACAGGTAGAAAACCTGAAAGCAAAGAGTAAAGAAACATGCTGTGTACGGTGCTCTGTATTTGTGCCTTTAATGTCACCACCAACATAGTCCAGCAATAGAAAGTTGATCATATGGACCATGGAGAAGCTTTGCAAAGAGCATCTGACCTTTGGCGGACATTTCTCAATGTGGTGGACGACAAAGCACTCCCAAGGTACTAGTGAGAAACGGTGGGCTGTGTGGTGTCATAAATATTTCATGAACGTCTAGCAATAATAAGGCCATTAATCATTTCACCTGAAAATAAACCAATACCATCGAGCGAAAGGGCAAAATGATTTTCACAACATCCAAACAGTGGAAGGAACCTGCAGGTTTGGGCATTTTGTTTATAGTAGAAAATGAAGTACAGGGCCGAGGCCTTGACGCAGACAGCTGATGACAGGCACGGCCGATGACAGCAGATGTTTTGATGTTCTGACACGCTGCACTCTGATAGCACAGTATCAGCCTCAGAACCAGAGGGTGGAGCCAGGTTCATACACAAGCTCACTACTTTGCAGTCCATCGACGACCACATCACAGAGCTGGTTTAAGGTCAGTGGTGATGTTGCAGCAAACATAAAAATTTCACACTGCAAATGTATTCAAGAAAATCACTTAGTGATTTGATTATGACACTCTTGCCTGCAATTCCAAGCTCTTTCAAGAACTCACATTTTCAGTGACTTCAGAACCCATGTCAGTGCTGCTTGGAATCAGAGAACACAGTTGGCACTCACTTGTTTGTTTGATATGCTAATTTTACATGCCATTAATTTCTTGAATTAATAAAAATCCTTTGGGTGCTTATTGATTGGTTTTTATTACCTCATTTTTTTCATGTATTTTCTGGATTGCAATGCTCTACTAAATTATTCATCTGTTAACCACGCCATTGTCTGGCTGCTTCATTCAGGCTCTATAAATCTGCTGTAACCGGTTTTTGCCACACTCGCGGGACAAAGCAAAAATTGTGCATCATCCTGACAGTCTTTCACCAGAATCCTGTTCTCATGTTTGTGAGCCACTTGTGGAGAAACACAGTACACCACTAAATGGTTCTGGACAGTTTTCCCGTTCAAACTGATTCAAAAATTAAGTTTGATTACCGATAGTAGATTGCTTTTCACTACATGTGCTCATACCCACCCTCATTCACTGTCCTATTTAAAAAGCCCAGTGTCTTCAATAATATTCCAATAGAGAAACTGCACTTGACAAAGCAGGGCCCCAAAGCATGCTTAAATCACAGCCTATGCTGCTCTCACCTTTGACAACACCGCCCTCTGCTGGTTCTGAACTGCACATGAGGACACACCATTTGCTTTTAATTCTATCTTGCAGTGAGCCCACATCTGCTATCTTGCCTTAAAATTATTAATAATACAGTGATACTGACAGGAATATATTAGGTTAATGCATAATGTGATCTAAAGTACATTACACAAAAAGACAGTCAAAAATGGAATATATATATATATAAATACTATATATTTTGGTGGCACATTCCTTTAAAATGCTCCATCATGACTGAAGTTTAGACCATACACAGTACACATTGTCATCAATGACATTATTGATTTTTGTATCACATGCTTTATCAACAATACAAATTAAAATGTTCTTGTTCTTGCTGTTCTGCAAACTCAACAGCCAGATAGAAGCAAGGGTGCACTGCTAAAATCCAATAAAATAATATTAAAATATTTGAATTTGATGCACTCATCCTCTGCTTGCCACGATGAATCACCTCTCCAGCGATGAGTGTGTCCCTGCAAAATTATTTTTGATGCTTTTGGAAAATATGAAAGTCTAGACTTTATTAGTATTTTCACTCTGCTCTCCCTCAGTTCTCCATGAGATGTTTTTACCTAGAGGCTCGAAACTTCGGACTACTGCAAAATTTATTAGCACTCATGACAACATGACAAATAGCACAATTATCTGGTTCATCATGATGTTTATCATCATCCATCCTATGATTGCAGCCATTTAAAATTTGACCTCTATAAAGGAACTTCAAATAGAAAATATCGATTTTCTTTTTATATGAAATCATAAAAGTCTTGCCAATTGTCCTCATGCGATAAAAACAAGACAGATTCACCAATCACATTCAAACCTGCATTATAAAATTAACAAAGTCAACATTCTCAGCTAACTATGAACCTGAGAAACTGCTGGGTATTTATTTTTCTAAATTATATCTTAATTCAAAAACTTTTATTTAAAAACCTAACTTATTTAAAAACTCTGCTAAGATTAGTTGCTCCTCTTTATATGGATTTGAACTCTGATAATTAGTAGTGCAAATGAGATTCACATCATCAACATCTCCCAAAATACTGCTAAACGCCACAGAATTACAATATAAAAATATTTTATTAGGTTTCTGCATAACAAAGAAATACTTTGACCATAAACTTCTACAATCAGAGTCAGACTTCTGTTCACATATGTCAGCTGTTTTCTTGTCTGGCAGCTTCTCTTTGCCATCTGATAAAAAGCTCAAACTGACAAATCCGGTCACATATTTACTGAAGTCATCAGCATCTGTCCATTTCTCTTAAATAAACATCAGTTCTATTATTTAATCTGCAGTAAAAATATTATATTAAAATATTCATTTAAGAATGTATCTTCACACAACACTTATCAAAGGGTGATGTTAAACTTTGGAGCATTTCATTGACTCAACGGAAACAATATTAACTATTCTGGGACCAATTTTAAAGAGAAATATCATTTAAAATAATATATCAAGATTATTCTGAAACTGCAACTCTAGATATTCACTTTGGTTGAGACATGCTTGTATAGATTTCACAAAAATGTCTACAGAAGAAAATGTTCAGACGCAAAGACGTGTTTTATGTTTGTTTGTGTTTTATAAACTTGAATTTACATTTGTGTTACATTTAAGCATACTGTGTCTGCACTAGATAGCTATGATTCTTCTTATCCACCACCCAGTAGCAATGTGACATGCATGGTCTTCTGAGTTTGGCTCAAACTAATTCTTTCCACTGTATATTTTTAGCTCCTAAAGCATCAACACTGCCCACCTTTTGTACAATTTAAAGGTGAGTTCACTGGCTCTCATGAATCATCGTCAGGTATCAGCTGTGCAGACTGTCTGTGGATGGTCCCACGCTGTCAATCTGCCCCTCGTCCTCCGCAGAGTCCTCAGAGCTGTTTACCACTGCAGCACTGAGAGTATGGAGCTCCTCCAAAACAGACCAGAGTCTCTCTGACAGGATACAGACAGGCCATTTTTTTAGATCAGTCATGTCTGTGTAACTGTTAGGACAATGTCTGATTCTGATGCACGAGGAGTTGGGACACTACATACCATCTGCAGGTAGTTTGACTTTTGCTCCTGCAGAGCGATTCCTCTCTGAAGGTTTGTCTCGATGTTCCCTGGGAGCAGCAGAGTTTTGCAGAGCTCTTGTATAGTCACTTGTCAGCCCTCTCTCAGCAATGGTGCCCTGGAACAGACAACGGGCCATCAACAGAAATAAAGACAGAAATAACTTTTTCTTCTTTCTTCTGTTTTAAAAAGTCTTACCAGCAGTAGATTTTTGTCTTTCTTCGTCTCGTTCAGTTGTTTATTCTGGACGTCCCACTTTGTGTGTTTGCTCCCCAAATGTTGAGTTTCTCTCATCTCATCCTGTTTCCTTGCTGCCTCTCTCTCAAACTGCCGCAAAGTCATAACTACAACAGACAATACAGACAGATCAAAAGCCACAGGGAAATGCTGCTATAGGCTGTGTAAACAATTCCAATCATATTAAATCACATTCTGCATTTATGACTTTAGCCCCCCATCGTAACCAGCTGTGGGCTGAGGTAGCGTGGCGCTAATCCTGCTACCTGCTTTGGTGTGATCTCTCCTGGCAGTATTGACTTGAACCTCCATCTCTTTAAGCTTCTCAGCGCAGAGGTCCTGGATCTCAGACACTCTCTCCTGCAGGGCTGAAGGGGAAAAACAAATGCACCATTCCTTAATACAGTATCTCGCAAAGTGAGGAACACAGTTTAATGCTGTATTTGTGCCTGAGGGGATAAATTAGATGTTATTACATCTGTAAGCAAATTTTCATAGATAGCAAGACCTCCACAAACAAGGAGCAGATTGAATCAACTCCAGATTTGTCCGTTTTTACAATGCAACCACGGTAACGCACAAAAGACTGCAACATAGCAAGGCGGCAGTAGCCTCAAGGTAAGTAAAAAAAAGCCCTTCAAATTATAACTATTGAAAAACATTTGTTGATCTTTTGTTTCAATAAAGGCAGAGGAATATACAGTGAAGCGATTTAAGACCTTGAAAAGAAATTCAATTGAACAGTGTGGATTTGATGTCTGCATCGTTAAAGCCGCTATAATCAATACTTTTATGTGACCAATGGATCACATGACGGCATGTATATCAATGGAGTCGCTCATAGCGACTAACCCACATAGAAAATGATCACCCGACTCCACAGTTCCCTTCAGATTATACCGACTTTCAGGTCATTGTTACTGTTTTGGTTTTACTCCTGCTGCTGTCATAGTGCTGTTTTCAGCCGCAGCATGCAGCCGTTTCAGAAAATAAAAGCTCTAAAACACAGACTGTATGTTAGTGGAACATTTAGCAGTTTAAGACCCAGATATTTCCCTCAGGAGGAGGTGGAAAACAGAGCTAAAATGAGATTGGACTTCCTCAGCTGGACACAAACTGGACTACAAATGAATGCTAATGTTGCGGCATAATTGCTGGACGTGTAAATGGTCAACTGCCTGCTAACAAGTTTACCATATCAACTTAAAAACAATATGTCAGTCAGTGTTTCCAACATGTTTCTGCACCCAAATGGCAAAAAAAACAGCTAAGGAGTTGGTTCACATGTTTATCTTAAAACAATAATTAAATGACCATTTGTACAATGAAAGACTTATTATTAGCTGCTGTGATCATTCCTTAAGTTCACGCTGGCCCTGAAATCCCCTCTTAAAGCAATTTCAAAGTAAGTGATGGAGAACCAAAGCCACAGCACTTGTTCTGTGCAAAAATTAATTCCAAATGTTATGTGAAGCTAATATGAGGTTTCAGCAGTCCACATGCTTCATATCCAGCAGATATCTTCCAAAGTTAAAGTCTTTTAGTATAAAGTTCCCTCTGTTTGTTATAATCTCTCCACTGTGCTCAACCGGGAACAATGCCCAGGGAAACACAATAGGGAATTTTATACTAAAAAGCCTGTAACTTTACAATCCACAAGGACTGTGGATTGTGTCCCCACTGGCATTAGGGAAGGATCGTTTAAGGGCCAGTTTGAACAGGAGGAATGATTACAATAAGCAAACCCTGTCAATGTGCTTGACTATTGTTTTCATATAGACTTGAAAATCTGTGACGCTATCCCTTAATGCAGGTTTAAACTTAAGACGTGGTCAGGTTGAATTTTTGCATCATTTTTAGGCACGTATTAGGGAAACTCAATAACTCTCCCTGAACAACTACAATCAAGGTGCTCTTCAGTGTGTCACTTAATCCCCAACTACTCCAGTGAAGCTACCCAGCAGACAGAGTGGCCAGGTGTGAATATGTGGAGACAGTGATGAAGGGCATTTCTAAAAAAGAGCAGGAGTGCTCAGCCTGCTTTCCCTGGATAAGTCAAAGCTGAAAAAGAGTCATACGGCTTAAAGTAGCTGATGCCTCACCACGTTTGCTGTGCTCCTGCTGGCTGAGCAGCTCAGACCGGAGTTTCTCCAGGTTGACCTTGGTCTCCTCCAGCTGGGCCTGGATCTGCTGCAAGCTCTGCTCCGCCTCCTCTCTGCCAGCCACAGCCTGCCGCACCTCCATCCAGCTCTGCTCCAGCTCCTGCTGCTGCGTCCTCAGTTTGCTCTCATCTGAGGAGGATGTACAAAAGGTAAACAGAGCCACATACATTACCAAAACATAGATACCCAGCAGACAAAGAGAGTGCATTATAATAAGGTGATGTGAGTTGTAAGGGTGCTCACACTGTTCTTTCAGGTCAGCCAGCGCTTTCTCGATGAGCTCCGGGGTTCTTTTGAGCTCCTGTGTGAGCTTGTCTCTCTCTTCACACACCAAACTAAGCTCTGTCTGGAGGTTTGTGATGCTGCAGGGCAACACAGACAAGATGGCAGAGCAGATAAAGGAGCAGAATGTCAAGCAGAGAGGTAGAGAAGCAACTGCATAGACTATAACAAAGCAAGCCAAACTCTAAACAGACAGAAAGCAACATGTAATACCTCCTGACAAAACTGACTTTGCATTCAATTGTCAGAAATTGATATATGTTGATACAGTATCAGAAAAAATATTATTATTATTATCGCAATACTGATTTCAAACATAATAACCAGCCCAATATCAAAGTCTAAGAAAGCAATATGTTTTTATCTGGACAGTGTTAAGCTTACAATACAACTTTATGAATTAGGCAACTAATTTTGTGAATTAGTGCTGAAAAGGTTGATGGATTAAATGAATACTTAAAATCTTACCAGTAATGATGCATTTTAAATCACTTAAACATTAATACATAAAAACATCTGCTGTTTACAGCTTTTAAAATGCAAAACAGAGGTTTGACTTCATATTGAAATTTGAATATTTTGGATTTGGAGGCTGTTGATCAGAATAAATAAGCACTTCTAAAACATCCCTTTGGGCTACAGAATAAGTGCAATGTGCATTAATTTTGCCATTCTGGAGTAAATGATTGTGATCAATTTAGTGAAAAACATAACTGGCAGTTAGCTGCAGGCATAACCCAATTATAAAATGTCTTCCAAAGTACACATTACATGTAACATTATATTATATTTATTTCTGATATGTGTGTTTATGGAAAACTTTTTGCAGATGTAGGGGCAACAGATATTAAACCACTGCAGCAATTTATAAATGCTTTGCATTTTGTCTCGTGTCTACTTTGATTAGAGAGCTACTTTCTAATTCTGCAGATGATGACATGATCTGTAAAACAAGACACAAAGGACTATTGAATCCTCACACCTGTCAGCAGCCTGTTCTTCCTGTTTACTGGCCTGCTGAACTTTCTGCAGTGCAATCCTCCTCATGGTCAAACCTGAAAAAACAAAAACATTTGTGATGTACTTGCTTTACCACACATCAGCACCATTAACCTCCATCATATTAACACCTTGGATTGTCTCCACTCGTCCTTTAGCAAACGTTAGCCTCTGGGTGAAAGTGTTGAGCCTCGTTTGAGCTGATTCCACTTCTGCCACATTGCTTTCAAATGCCAGACTGAACCTGTGAGGAGCAGGCACAATGTGTGAAAATGCAGCATTAACTGTAATTACGTTTTCAACATTGGCAGGAACAATAAACTGATCCTCTCATTTTTTACCTATGAACTGCTTCTGTAAGGGTTTTAAGCTCAGCCTCTTCTTTTTGATTCTGTGACTTCAGCAGCGAGTTTTCCTTCTGAGCCTTGACCAAGTCCTGTTTCAGTGTCTGGGAAGAAAAACAAACATCCACATAATAATAGTATCTTACTCAAATCTACTGTGATGCTCAGTTTTGAGAACGTCTTCGTGACCAGCTGCTGTTCTTAAAACCTCAACTGCTATGGGTATCTACCACAGTTTTCATATTGTCAGCATTCTGTGCTGTGGTACAAATGTTCGAGTGTTTATCACTTACCTAAGCAGCCACAAATTTATTGTGCATCATCAAATTTGCAGACAGCCATGTAAATCACATCACTTGCTCTGGTACTAACCTCTTTTTCCACTCTCTCCAGGTCCAGCTCAGCTATCCTGTCATCTAAACTGTGTTGGAGCACACTAGCCCGGTGCTGCTCCTGCTGGAGCTGCTGCTCCATGGATCTGGCCTAAAGCACAGACCAATACGTTACCACACTTTAAACACAGTGGGTGTGATTGTACTGTGGTATACTAAGAGATGATCGATTTCATACTTTTGAAAGAAGTTTATCCTTCTCTCCTCTAAGTTCAATGTCCTTTGAGCGAAGCTGGACACATAACTTGAACACTTTCTCTCTCCAGAGCTGAAGCACTTGAAGGCCTTCACATCCATTCTTCACAAGTGGATCTATTGAGGTCTATTGAAACATATACACACATATGGTAAATGCACACACCACTTCAGCAAATGCTTCATATGAACATGGGTAATAACTGCTTAGAAATTAGCCTTGATGTTTTTCAAAGCACACTAAAGCATTTAAAAATTATGAGCTTTTTCCTTTCTTCCTAAAGCTATATTAACACACCAGAGTTTATAAAAAATAATCTGCTCTCTAATGCAACAACCCTGTAACCTCTGCCAAAAACAAAAGAATACCAGTTGTTTACTCAAGCAACTTTCTGCAAGTACACATTTATTCCAAACTAACCAAAATGAACTTCGGATGTATGCAAAATGGATTCAAAAGTGAAGAAAATGTTTTATATGTCACCTGCTGAGTCATACTTTATATACACATGTGGATATCACCACCTCAGGTGAAGTGTTCAGCCAACTGAATTACTCCTGCAGGGCATTGCCATCCTGTCTAGATGAAGATCCATGAAGTGCATCCACACTTCAGACATTCTTTTTTCAGACTTTTGATAAAGAACAACAACAACACACAATGATAGGTAGATCCTCGGTCTACATAGGACAGCAGTGGCTCAGCCTGCTACTGCTCACCATGTGTTATGAGCACAGTCCTGTATCATACGTTGCTATAGGTGCTTTTCGACCAAAAGTACCAGGGACTTTTGACTATACCAAGTCCCCAGGTCTATTTTCAAGGAACCAAAAGGTCCCTTCAGCCCACTGTTGTGTGCGTTTCCACCATGGTCTAAAGACCTGTGAAGATTAGCCAAATTAACCAGCTGACGTAGGCTGTACACAGCGATGCACAGGCATCATTATTTGTTACCACTATCCATGAGCAACATTTATAAATGATCAGATTTGACTGGAATATAATGAAAAACTATAGGCTTGCTTGACCATTAAAGCAGCTTCTTTGTGTGGGAGTATAACAAGAGACACGCGATAAAGTCTGTTTAACACATTTAATAACAAACTGGATAAAGCTATAAAGTTCTTAAAATAACTCCAGCACAGAGAAAGCAACACAAAAATAAAATCGCGACAGTTTGGAAGGTTATTAAAACATTTCCAGCAACAAGAGCTGCAGGACTCACGTCAGTGTCGCCTGAGTGTCGGAGGAACGTGATGTTTAGCGAGCTTAATTACCTGCTGTAATCAGCTGTTCCGCTTGTTTTGGAGAGGAGGAGACCAACTTCGGCTCTGTGTAAAAACCTCCTGACTGATCAAGACTTAAAACAACAACTTAGGACCCAGTATTTAGCATAAACACACCACTGCACGCTGGCTGCTATTTCCAATATATTTAATGCCAACATACGATCTCAGGAGGACATCGGCGAGACTTGTTTGGCTTGACTGTTGATTGTGATTTATTGGTTTGCAAACAACGGTGGAAAAGAGAGGGGCAGTCGTAGAAAAACAGCCAACATTCTCCAGTTAAAGCCAGTAGCCTCTACTCGCGCATTCAGAATTTCACTGCAAGGCAAGCCCCGCCCGCCCCAAAGTACCCGGTACTTTCGGAAAGTACTACCCCCCGAGCAGGGACTTTTTAGTGGGTAAAATGAAGACCCCAGAACTACATTTAGACCCTGGTCCCTCCGGTGGAAAAACAGTGAGTTCCTCCAAAGGTTCCTAGTTCTGGGGTATAGTTCCTTTGGTCAAAACGCAGCTTAAGTGAAGAACAAACACTCACCTTCTTCACCATTTTCTCTTCTTGCAGGGTGAGTATCTCATTAACAGAGTTAAGCCTGACTGTCAAAAGCTCTGCAGTCATCTGAAGAGCTGCTTTCTCTTTGTTCAGCCTCTACAAAATGGATAATATTAGAATAAAAAGTATACATAATGGGATGAAATTATTATAATATGAATGGTAATTCATAAATTTAACACTCATTTCCTCCACAATTCTTTCTTTAACCTGCTGAAAGGAACAAGATCTTAAGTATTTTTCCCCATGCAATTACTTTACAGTAGGCTGATTGCAATCAATACTGTATATACTGTCTTCACCTCAACGGTGTCATTTAATCGTTCCTTCTCTCCTTTCTCTGGGGCAAGTTGGCCGATGTAATTTCTGAGGCTGTGCAGTGTTGCTGATTGTGTCTCAAAAGCTTGTCCCATTTGGCTGAAATATAAACAAAACCCCCCTCCAAAAAATCAGTCAATCTGACTACAAAGCACTATAAATGTTTAGCTCTCTTTAGTTTTAGATTGAATGTGGTACCTTAAATGTTCTTTCAGCCCATTTCTCTCAGTCGTTACCTCCATCAGAGTGCTTTTTAGCTGCAGCATTTCTAAGGTCATTGATTGAAGTCTGTCCTGTAGTTCACTGTTTGTTTTTCTTGCAGCATCCAACTCTGCACAGTGGGAAGCATTCAATTGGCGCAGCTGAAAGTGAAACAATGGACAATTTAAAACACATACAAATAGTGACGCAATATCTAATTGATCCCCAACAGTGTTGGGCGTTACTGTAATAATTTTACCATTCCCAGTAATTGTGAAACTTACAGAAAGAAACTCCAGCAGCTACTGTCACTGATGCTTGGACGGGAGAGTGGCATTAACGTAACGTTTTGTAACTACTGAATACTCTTATAAATAGGCTACATGTGCAGAAAAACCACCAAGTCGGGATTTACTTGCTTTATTTTTTATTTTAGCCGATGGCATTAAGAAACATTAGGCCTAGGCTATATACCTTGTAAAATACACACTCCTTGCTGCTGTTGAATATGATATTAGTTAGTAGTGAAAGCAGTGTTTCCCATAATTAGCCAATAATTTGGATAATTATCAACACTGACCGCCACATATTGACCCTCGGGTTGTCATTCTGTGGGAAACACTGGAAAGTAATATAGTAACGTAACTAGTTACTTTTATCACCTAGTAATAAGTAAAGTAATAATATTACTTTTTTAAGGAGTAATAAGTAACTAGTAATATATTACAATTTCTCAGTAACTTGCCCAACACTGATCCCCAAGGAGAAGTTATCCCTTCACTTGCTTCCCTCCTGAGGAAGGTCAGAGTGAAGGGTCAGTTACAGAACAGCGCTGTGCTACATGCTCAGTATTGCGCTCAGCGATACTTGAGCAGAGCAAATGCCTGTGACAATTGAAGTCACTCAAATCAGTATGTAAATTTCCTTTCAGAAATTGTGCCACACACCTCCACCTCCTGCTTCTTCTGCATTTCCTCCAGCTGTTGTGACAGTCTAAGAGTCCGCCGTTTGGCCTCCTCCTCAGCCTGTAACCTGCCCATTTCAGCCTTCAGAGCAAGCTCCTGGGCTTCCCCTTTGCTCCTCTCTATATCTCTCTTCAGCTTTGTAATTTGCTCACCAGACTCTCCCTTTAATCTTTCATGCTGCAAAAAAACAAAAATGTTAAACACAGGAGAATAATAGTCTGTTAAACGCATCATAGTGAAACTAAACTAAAACTGTCAGGTGACAATAAGCTATTATTAGGACTACAAGACTGTACTAGAAACACCAGACTACAGACTGCCAAAATAAGTTACAAGATGTCAGTAACTTAGGTGTTATTTGTCAACATCAGTTTAGAAATTAAATGTTTGGTCGGTAAATAGAATTACCTGTGAGCTTATTTTCTCCTTCTGTGCACTGCGATGAGTGAGCTCCTCTCTGATTTGGCCGAGTTCAGTCTTAGCCTTACATAGCTCTTCACGCATTGCTTCCAACTCACGGCTCTGTCTGTCGTATAAAAGGTTATGCCATGTTAAGCTTGCTAAAAAAATTTTGCTGAAATGTTAAGTTATGTAACGAATGTCTGGCCAAACTGTACAATTACTTGAATATTTATCAACATAAGCATAGCTCCTACCTGTTCAGGGTGTTGTCTCTGTCCCTCATCTCTTCCCTGTGTCTCCCTGCAGTGTCCTTCAGGGCCTCCACCTGGCCCTTCAACCTCTCAGCTTCGGCCTTGTGCTTCTCTGCCTCCAGATGCCACTCTGACTCCCATCTTGACCACTGCTCACTTCTCTCTGCACATCTGTGTTTGAGAAAGAGGTAGGGATGAAACGATTACCGGTTTTAACAATTAACCATGGTAAAATTCCTGACGGTTATTATTCCGTACACATTTTTATTACCATGATAACTGGGTAAGGTTAACCACGCTGTTATAATCTCACCGCAAACACTGTCCAGCGTCTCCCAGAAGCAAGTGCGCATGCGCAGAATGCAACGTGGGTTTGTTTGGGTCAATAACAACATGGCGGAGATTTTTCAGTTTCTCTGAAGTCCGGTCATATTTTAGTTTTTATGAGTGTGCTGAGGGAAACTTGATTGAAGAAAATAACCGTGTAGTGAACGCAGGGTGAGTTAACTTTTAGCTTTGGTTTGTCTCTGACTTGCTAACAGCGTGTAAACTGAAGCTCTCAGTGTTGCTGCTCTTGTAAAAAACGCCACACGTTGTTCTGTTGCTGTGTGCGTCGTGTGCCGGCAGAGTCTATTAGTCCACTGCACATGATAACACGTTACGCAGTTTAGTCAACCACCCAGCATATCTAGAAACGCTAAAGACTTATTTGTTTTCATGTAATTGTCCACGGGGTCATTGTAATATCTATATAATACAAAATATAAAATCATGAAAATGCACACTTAGATGATTTTCATATGTTTACAAAAGGTATTTGCTGTTATTTTATTTTTTAATGCATCAGTACATTTTAATATTTTTTGGCACATTTTTACAATACTGTGATAATACTGATAACCGTGATAATTATGGTCACTATAATCGTGATATGAAATTTTCATACCGTTTCATCCCTATAAAGAGGAGCTATTCATGAACCCAATATGCCAAATAACTGATGGACAATGATGATATTTCTCACCATATGAAACATATTGTGGGATACCTTGCCCTGAGGTCTGATGGGCGATCCAAAGGGATCATTCCTCTGATGCCATCTCCTTGTAACATCATGATCCTCTGATTTTCCTTCCTCAACTCCAAGATTTCCTGTTGGGCCTGAGTGATGGCGAGCCATGGATTGACAGGACTGGGATCCCCTGATGGTACTGATGTTCGCGCTGGGTTTATCCAGGAGATTGGTGGCAGTGTCCCTGGGATTTGTGTGCCTCTGTGTGCTCCAGCAGACTGGACATTCGTTGTGAAATGCGACGGTGGTACCAGGTCTTTTTGGATATTCCCTACATAACATAAAATAATATATAGTCTAACTTCGTAGAGTTTAAGCCTTTATGTATCAGATGTTTCCTAAGTGGAGCCCTTTCACACTGAGCTTACAAGAAAGTCAACAAAATAAACATGACAACTTCCCCTCCATAAAAAATACAACCTCTTTTTCTTGTTAATAAATAGTTACCGCTTGAGCGGACAAATGAATGCAGACTAGCTAAGCTGGTGTGCTAAATTGCATTGTAGGCTAACGTTAGCTAACATCTTGAACGCAACGTTGCTTGACGTTACGAGCAAATGTTAACATAAAATATCGGCAAGAACAATTCAACTCACTTGAAACCGCTGGTGAAGTAAAATCAGTGGGTACAATGAGCCTTTCTTTTCCCAAGTTATGTCTCTCCATGTTCAACACGTATCACTAGAAACCATAAAGTAAAGAGGGAACACGGGGTGGTTTGGGTGCTCTGTTAACGTTTATTCTCCCGCGACTCGAGTCTGTCGTTTTTTCCTTAGTGACGGGTTAAGTTACCACCATAACAACGACAACTTCCGTAACACTCCGCTTAGGATTCTTTTTGCTAGCCAACTTTTAATGGTCAAATTACATGTAGGTTAAATTACAAATACCTGCAGCATTACGGCAAATATGTATGTTTATGAACTTTATATATAAGGAATTAACGTTATGTATCGTACATCTCTGCATTACAATCGCGCAGTGCATCACGGGAAAGTGGAAGGAACCGTGAAAGTACCTGCTGAGTCCTTTTCCCTAACCCTTGTCTTACAGGGTGTTTTACCTTCAAATCTCAAAGCAAGAACCCTGCATTGTCCCTTAACATATACTGCGTGTTGTGTTCGAGTTTACCAGGGGTTGGTAAAGTCCAGTCCAGTACACAATCTGGGTATCAGCTTTCCCGATAAACCAAATTCAGACAGCATTGAACTTAACACAGACATTTTTTGCTCCTGGCTGTGGAGCGTGTGAGTTTGGTGCTATAAAGGATAAAGGTCTGGGGGAGAAGGTAGCAGCGTATCCCAAAACATTGTTCTTGTTATACTGACAATGAACAATAGACCCTGATTGGGAAATCACAGTAGAGAGAGCAAAATATTCCATGTAGCCTACCACTTTATTCTTCTGGACGTGGTTTCACCAGGCATTTTCTTTCAGATGTTATTGAGATTTTGAGAGATTTTATTGTGATGATTAGTGGAAACGTGTATAAATGCACCTAATGAAGTGATAACCTGAAACTAAACCATTCCTTCTTTTCCTGGGACACCTTCACCTCAAGAACACCTTTTTGGTTTGAAGACCAGACCAGACTGTAATTGGTAAAAAAAATTTGGTTATGTAACTTAATTTTTGGTTCCACCTGAATCTATAAATTATACTACCTCCAACTGTAAAATTATCAGTTTATGAATAATTCAAACTACACATTTGCATATTTTGACAGATGTGTCGTGTGCTCACTTTCCTCCATCTGCAGTGATTCACATTTTGCTCACAATGCCTTTGTGCTGTAAATCTATAAACCTCACCTTCAAGTGAAGGACTGCATCTATAGCTTATACAATTGGCAGTGTATTCACTACCCTGTAGTCTATAATCACTTTAACCACAATATTTTTATATATCCTGTTGTGTTATTTTCCTCTGGTATCTTCAGTAGCCATATCAGTTTGCTCTTACCTCTCCTCTACAGCTGCTGTGACCCACTTTCCCCCTGGGGTTCATTAAAGTTTCATATAATCTAATCTAATCTATTTATGCTGTATTCAAGAAACAAAGAGACGTTTTAGTTTGATTAATTTACATGAATGATGACACATATCGGTACAACCTGACAACACAATAACACAAAATAAATGAACGAGGAGGAGATGGCTACGTATATATCTCAATAAATAAGCCTAAATGAAAAGAAATACAGTTACATCACCAAGAAAGACAAGGGATGATGGTATAGCAGACTGTGGAGCTTGAAAAATATCCATAACGTACTGAAGTGGTTGTTTGAGAACAGTGGGAGTGCTGTGCATTATTTGGGTATGTTGTTATTGCGTCCTCTCAGCACTCGACAGGCACTGCAGTAGATCCTGAGGAACAAAGCAGAGAAAAAGAGATCAGAAGGGGCCACTGGGAATCCAGAAAACACAGGCAATACTGACCCTTATTAGAAAGAGGGCAGAATTAAGATGCAGCTCTGTTTCTGTTTGAAGGACACTTAAGAGCTAATCAAAGTGGACCTTCCCTGCATATAAAGTGCATGAAGCTTGGATAAAAAGAGCGTTTTGAAAAAGACAGATTGAGACAGGTTTGTGAATTGTCACCAACAATGTTCAGTGTGGCAAATTGATCTGGGCTCTGTTTGCAGCAACAGCAACAAGGTGTAGCACAGAAATGCCTCTTCTCAGCTACGTCCATGAGCTTGACCTGAGGGATCCCAAGGTGTTCCCAGGTCACATGTAATCCTTTCATTGTGTTCATGATCTGCCCCGGGGGTCTCCTGCAGTTGCATGACTGGGAAGCATCCTTATCAGATGCCCAAACCACCTCATCTGGGTCCTTTCAGTTAGAGTGAAAAGCAGTTCCACTCCCAGCACCTTTCGAATGTCTCCTCACCCAGATCCCAAGGGTGAGCCCAGACATGCTGTGTGGACATATGGTCCCACCACCCATAAGGGCTGGCCTACATTTCCAGTGCAATCAGGCTGGCAGGTAAAGGTGGGAGCCCTGGTAGACTGATCCCTGCTACACACATTGGTTTTTGGTATGGATAGGGCAAATGCAAATGCAGAAATTAAATATATGGTGTCTGACAGATTAACATGAATTTATCGTTTCTCTTTTGATGCCCATGGCACCATGGCAACAGTCCTTTTTAGTACAACAGCTAGACAGTTCAACTCGATCTGAACATTTTCATAATGACAGAGAAAGAAAATATTTCTCTTTTTCTTGCTTAAGGACAATGGATATCCTGGCACACCCATGGCCATGGAAGCAGCTTTATCTTTGTCCCTAATCAAGCTGATTCAGCCCACACTAAGGGTTCATGTGGAGAAACTGTCCATGGCTGCAAATATGAAAAAATGTGCTTGTTGAACTTGCCGCAAGCATAATAGTAACAAATGAAGTACACACATAAAAATGTCCTCATAAAAATTGGTAATGGATCAATAAGGTGGCCTGGAATGCATTATCCTGTAAAATGAACCTGCTTACAGGAAGGTAATAATCTCCATGCATTTACATTATTATCTACATGTTTATAGAAACCCACCATTAAACAGACTGTTCCTTGCATGAGCATCAACAGAATAGTTGCGGGCCATTTTCTTTCTGTGAAAAGCTTTCCTTGCTTTTGTAACCCAGCTTGAAAGAGACATCACTAGGCAGCATCTCTCCCATCATCCCTATACATGCAAAAATCACAACTATGGCCACTGGGCATTACTTAAAAAGATATGTGGGAAAAGTGTCTGCTCTGTCAGCAACTGCCTGGACTTTGTCTGGTACCTCACATTGTATGTGTTAGTGGATTTCCAGTATATGGTTGGGGACGATTTCAGAGTGAAATTCATGTTGGTCTATTTTTATTTTTAAGTTCAACTAAAAGAAGCAGCAGACACATAGCTAGAAAGCTACAGGAAGGATCACAAGAATCAACAATATGATCACCCCGATGATTTTCATTTTCTATTCGATAAAGTGTTTCATAAAGAGAGAAGCAACTTTCACTTTCTTGCCCTGCACTAATTTCCTGCCACCTGTTTGTTTCAGAGCTGTCATTGCAAGGCTCCACTTTGATGATGATCATATTGTTTAGACTTTACAGGGAGATGAGTTGATTAGGAATCTAATTGAAAATAGCCTATATTATAAAACCGATGGGGAAAACATATTTGAGGATGGCTTGCAGCCTACGATTATAATTTACTGAAGAGGCTTAGGCCGATGCCAATTAAATGTATTGAGAATGCACATCTTGTCCGCATGCAGGCCTGCACACCGCAACGTGAATATCCTCACTTGTTCATCCTGTCAAAGGTAGATGGCTTTTGCCCAAGCACAAAGCCCGTGAGTACGCGAGTGATGTCCGAGGTTAAGGTGATCACTTAATGGTTTCTAAATTGGGATTTTGTCGGTTTGTTGGAGGGTGAATTTAATGCACTGGCGTATCCCTGCGGTTGCCTAGTAACTCGCTGGCAGTGGGCGCCGTGGAGAGATGGTGGGCGCTCCGTTAAAACCATTGGCGCTCCTGACCTTGGCGTCGTGAATGCGCAGCGCACACAGTCTGTGCAAAGCAGGAGATAAGAGTACAGATCTGTGTGTTTGATACTGAAACCGGGGGGAATAGGCTATTCCGCACGCAAGCCCGTTGTCTTTTAGTAGCAAAACATGACGGGCATGGCTACGGAGGAAATCTCGAGATGGAGCGCGTATCAGCTTCTGTAAAAACAGGTGAGTTAACCTAATGATTATGGATTTTTTTTCCGTGGGACGAATATTTGTCCATATCTATCACTGATAACCTGGCTAATTGTCTGATTTAAAGCGATTGCTCAATGATAGACCATGGTGGAGCATTTATTGGCTCGCCAATAATTTTTTTGTGTGGCTATTTTATCCGATATTCCACCGTCCTAGACCTAGATTAAACAAGCTCAGTCACAACGTGAGGCAGCGCACACACACTACAGCAGTTTGTCGATGCTGTTTCAAGGGCTGTGGCTTGGTTGTCTCTGTGGGTCTGGATCCTTGCATTAATTTATAAAGCGTTGATTATTATGTTGAGTGCTACCTGCATGTTCTCTATAAGGTAGCCTCTTCTCCGCATCAATCCCTGCTCCTCTTTATTGCACTGCTGATTTAGGGGGAATTTGGGGAATCCACTAAAACGGGTTTGAGCCTCGCCAGTCGAATTACAAGGACATTGGGAGCCCAGTACTGTTGTCTGATATAGCCTACTAGGCTCTTTCTCAAATGCTTTCATGTCAAGTGCCCCTCAGGCTTCCAGGACCTAATCGATAGGATGTTGTTCAAGGGGTTTTTATTAGTAGTGAATTGGTGTTGAATTGTGTGCCTGTCAATGATGTAGGTGTAGAGATAGTAATTTTGGGAGAGAAACATGATTATAGCCATCATTTTAATAGGTGTGTGACTGGGATCAGTCAAATGGGAATTAAAGTATTTGGGTCCCAGGAAACCCAAGTCATTTGACCCAAAGCACCACTGTGATGCATAAACACCTGGCTGGTGGTAATATGCTACTTATCACTCAGTTACTGAATTATGGCAAGCATTTAATAATTGGCGAGAAATATTTTACCCATGTTTCTTTCCTGTCCTGCTGCTGGGCGCGTTGCCAGTCTAAATTGCCCAAATACTTGCAGTGTATCAAACTTGACTGAGTGATGGCTCACTTTTATTACATGGCCCATTTGGTGTAAGCTATAAAGCTTTTATCCACATCTGTCCCATCTCAGAGCACAAGTTGGAAAAAGAGTTGCAGTATTCAGCTGCTTTGACAGTCTGCAGTACAATGAGTAAAACCAAATGAATGTAATGTATGTATAGCCCTAAAAATGTTCCAATGATTTAAATTAGAAGTTTGATTTGATGTCAAATAGCTAAAAAAAAATGAAAATCTATTGATACTAATA